CTCGAGCAGGAATCTCTCCTTCCTCCAGGCCCTCAACAACGAACCCGCCGCGTCGGGGGGATCTTTCCACCGGAGCGTGAGCGCGTTGCTGCGCTACCCGGGCCTGTGTCGCTACAACTCTCTGTGAGTCTGCTGGTCCAGGACCAGAGCGTAGCGTCGAGCGTACTGATGAGCTGTGTACTGTAGCTCAGCTTCATGAACGGGAATCTCAGTGGTAGTAGCAGCAGGCATGGTTGTTCTGTTTGTTTCGGAATCGCGCTGTTCCCGCTGGGGCCGCCTTCGCGAGATCAGTGAGTTTACGAGGAAATAGAACAGAGGGGGGGGGGGGCGCAGACCCTATGCCCTAACCCTAACCCTAACCCAACTTCCCCGATTGTATGCCTTATCCAACATGTTTACTTATGATAGAGATGGATTCGTTGTGTCTTATTAAGAAGAAAAAAAAAAAAGCCTGCGAAGGACGCAAGGAGGGGGGGCGCAGACCCTATTTATTCCATAACCCTATCCCTAACCCAACTTCCCCGATTGTATGCCTTATCCAACATGTTTACTTAATAACACAAAAAGCCTGCGAAGGACGCAAGGAGGGGGGGCGCAGACCCTATTTATTCCATAACCCTAACCCTATTCTAACTTCCCCGATTGTATGCTTTATCCAACACATGTTTGCTCAATTAAAAAAAAAAACGCGAATGCCACTGTCCCGCTGCCGGGCGGCATCTTCGGTGATTACTGTACAGCATTAGTCCTTGCAATAACATGTCTGTCTGTCTGCCTTCCGTGCCCCACGTTTGCTGAACGTTTTTGTCCAAAACCATCCGCCCGCCTGTGAAAACCGCGTTCTCGACCAGGTCGCACAACGCTCACACACAGCTTTGGGGGCTGGCCAGTGCCCGCCGGCGATAGCACTACGAGGCTTTGAGGGCGGCTTACAACCCGATGCGACCAGCGAGACTCTCGCCAGCACCGCCATTCGACGAGTGGACAGGAATGTCCGACATATGTGACCACCCCTACTGCAGGTACTACTGCTGTTGCCGCTGTTGCTCGCTGTGAAAGGTACCGTAGCGGCCAAGATAAGCCTTGTGGTATTTCTCGTCTATCTTTGATCGAGGCGCTGCTGCTGTGTAAGAATGCAAGCGTGGTATATATGCGTATGTGAATGTACCGCGAGGGTGGGCAACCCCTCAGCCTGCCGTTGCAAAGCTAACCTAGTAAATAGTGGCAACGTCAATTGCAGTGTCAAGAGGTGATATTTCCCTGTCTATGCACATTACATGTTTCGGCGGCATTTGCACTTGGTATTCAGATACACACCTCCCTCAAGCCAACCATGTTCGAATCGGGAATGAACTCGCTCCCTGTCGCCAGTTTTTTCAAAATTCTTCCTCGAGATGATCTGTTTTTGCGTATCAGCGTTGATGGGATACCCGACCGAGCATTCTTCGCGCTGATGGTGGGCCGGGACCCCCACACCCCGCCGCTCTACCCGCGTTCGCACGCGTGCCGACAGGAACGTGGTGGCGCAGTTGAGTGCTGCTCTCGCACGCCACTTCGGGAAGGTACAGGTCTCCGGACCTGAGCCTATTGGCGACTTTGAGGTGGCATTGACATCAGCGCTCGAGCAGGCTGACGTAGTAGATGCGGGGTAAAAATGCCACTGGTGACCAGAGGGGCAGTTTGGGCACGAACTACAACCTGGGGGGGGGGAGGTTGGGAGGACGAGTTCGACCTTGAACCCATTTTTTCTTGAGGCTTGCAGCCCGCCGTGTTGATTGCAATAACGCCACTACCCAAGATGCGAGATGACTTGCACGCTTTGGGCTGCAACCTCTCTACAACCTCCTCCCCCAGGTTGTAGTTGGTGCCCCAACCTACGCTCGAGAGGGTTGATGATCCGATGGTCATCAGCGCTAAGCAAACGGCGATGGAAGTGGCCGTGGGATGGTCGATCGGAACAGCAAGTAATTATTGTGCACGTGTGTTCTGCTGTTGTTCTACGTTTGTTTGTTGTTGTTTTAATGGTTTAGTCTACATAGTCTGCATTCTTTTTTTTTTCGCCAAGGGTTGTCAAGTTGGAATCCGACGAATATAAATGTGATTGGTCACAGATTCAGATGATGATGCTGATATCCCCAACCAAGCGTTCAAAGGTGCCGCGAGCCCCTAATATTTTGATAGTGTTGATGGTGCCCCGTGACATTGACATGGTATTTGGAGGTACATAGCCGTGTGATGGTATTTTTTTTATCCATCCGTATATGGTTAGTTGCCGTCGTGAGACATATGTTTTGTTACGACGTCATGGCGAGATTATGATTGCGGCTTTTTGGCGAGTCTTGTGCCCTTCCGTTGGGTGTGTGCGATCGAGTTCGATCGTGTGCGATTATTGTTTGTGGCAATCGGCTGGTGTGGATTCTGGCTGCACGGTGTGCGTGTGAGGAGAAAGGCAGACATGATAATCAAGAAGAAGGACAACCTGCACCGATCACCTGTGATCAGACAAGAGTTCCACACAGCTTGAGGTGACCAGAAGAAGAAGAGGTGGAATTCTCATTACAACACTGCTCAGTGAGTCCTTGACCCTTCGACGAAACCATCGTTAATCTGCACACAAAGAGCTGGCGATTTTTCTTTGCTTGACTGCCCGGGTCTATCCCCCCCCCCCCCTTTTTTCTTTCACACACGAATACAAATAATCTACCCT